GAATTCAGATAAATGTGAGTATAATAAGCCTCTGGATGTTGTTCTCTTAAATAGCGTTGCTATAATACTCATCGTTAATGCGACTTCCGGTGCTGCATGGATTTGCTGATGGTTTTGTAGTCTGATCGGTAGTTTGTGAGGTTAAGCTTCATGCAGGCGTTGAATATTTCATCCGTTAGACGTGCTCGTAGGGTTGACTTGATGTGTTTATGATATGAGAATGAATGCTGACATGCATGCGTAGATCCAAACAAGGTCAATAGAGCAATACTCACATGCTGCAGTGTGTGATATGTGATAGAAAGCGCGTTCCAAGTTTTTATTATCAACTAGTCTTCGAGTTTAAGTTTTTTTTTCATTTCTGTCCACATGTGCTTGCTCGCCAACTCCGCTTTATGCCCTGCGATTCTTACCAAATCTTCATTGAATGACTTGAACTTATTCACCCACATGTCGGAGGCCTTCAGGTCAACCACTTCTTCTTCGAAACCTCTAACGGAGACATCAAGACTATAACCTAGGTCGGCTTTGTTCAGTGAACTCTCGTTTGGATGGCTGATGGGGTTAACAAGATAGGCAGGCTGGCCTATGCGCGTAAGATAGCCTTGTCTGCCAGCGTGATACTGACTAAGCTGAGGTCACGTATGGGGGCTGTTTTGCTTTAGTAGAGCGTCTGTTATTTAACGAGCTCGTCGCGCCCGGTGTGACGCAAGAGAAAAGGATAGCAGCTACTTTTGGCAAGCCGGAAAGGGAACACTAAAAAAACTACTAGGTCAAGCATAAAAGGGCGGAACGCCAGAGATTGGTTGAGATTAAATTGATTGCAATACGCGTCTCGGCGGCGGCACGTCCTTAGAGGAACCAAAGTCACAAAATCTGAAGTTTCTAATTCCAAGTTGACCTGAGAGAGAGCCAGATGCAATCATCAAAAGAGCCACACCTGGCTCGCGAGCCATAGGTTGCCGACCCCGGGTCTAGGCTAAAGGGGTAAGGGTGAGGGAGAAGAGCGGAGGATGGCGAAGGAGGCATATGACCCTAAAGTTACGTCTTTGTCTTGTCGTTGTTTTTCTGCGACGTGACAGGTGTGAACACGCAATATCGGTTTAGCTTTGACCAAGAGGGGCACTGTCAACAAAGAGAACCAATAGGGGGCTTGTACATGTCTTGCGTTACTCAAAAAGGAAGGTGGTCTCGCATCCACTTGGCGTCTGCTGGTTTCACCTGCTCCGCAGGTTGAGGTGAAGGTGTAGATGTATCTTGATGCGGTCTGAAAGAGCAGTCTACCCTTACCTCAAAGACAAAGAAGTCGAGTGCTTGAACAATCAAACCTTATCTTAAATTATTTTCGATTATGCATTATCTAAACCTAAGTTACCCGAAGTCGACTTCTAAGTACTGTTTAAACACGATGTTGGAAAGAGTATTCTATAAATCGGCTCGAACACAGTGTCATGTCTATGATTCATGTGTATATATGCAAAAACAAATGTTCTATTTGTTATCAAAGCAAACCCTTGCAAACGTATTTCGGCGCCTTTCGTTGACTTATAGCCCATCATTCGAAGTTGGAGTGTTCTTTTTGAAAGCTTGTTGTCTATCTGTCTGTGTCTTACCTTAAATTGTATTATTTGGCCATGATATAGTAAACAGGTTTAGGGCACAGCGTTGCGAATTATTTGAATTCGTCGAAGACAACCTTAAATTTGGAAGCAGTTCCTATGTTAAAGATATATTTTTTTACTAAGGCAACGTTAACTGGTTCCAGTTCATCATCTATAGTTGTAGTATTAATGTATAAAACTGTAAAACATTTTAAGGTATAGTAAATAAAGTGAGGTTTCAAGGAAAATTAACTGGCCAAAGGATTTAAATCACCTGAAATATTAAGGAGTTGATTGCAGACTCTACGCGTTTCAGTATTTATTTATTTCATAAATTCGCTTACTTCCAGCAGGCT